GCCGACATTAACAACCCAGCTGGGACTGTTGCTTTAAGCGTAAGAGATCTCAATAGTGAAGCTAATACTGCAAAATATGTGAAATTTGCAGCAGCATTAGGCTGGTCGTGGTTGTCGTATAATGGTACGTCCCATTGATTGTACACTTGTCTTTCTAGCTTTCATCGAAATTTTATCATCTTCTAGATTTATCACATCTCTGGACCATGAGGCAAGGTACTCACGATGGATATTATGCTTTCAAGGCCGAATACCTGGCGCTCTCAATGGTCTCACTGAGAACGTTTCGCGTTAACAAATTAAATGAAATCAACCCATAATGCCTTAAATTGCCACTTCTCAAAGTCGCGTGTTGTCGAGTGATACAAATAAGAAGAGAAATTGCTACAGTCCACAACAGACATGTAACTGTGGGAAACAATTCAGTAGATTTCGTGAAGTCGTTCCCGTTCCATCAGTTCCTGTTCTCGTGCTCGTTCGTACTAAAATATCCAATTATTATTAACGTGAAAATGCGAGGCGGGGGGGGGGACGGCGAGAGCTGATGAGCCGCGGTAAAGAGGCTTGCGAATTATTATTTTGCATTGTTGATTGTTTCGACTAATCCTTCTCAATTCTCATGAATTGCGACCATATCACCCCTTATTTGAAGACAAGTCGTACGATAGACTGGATAATGAAGAAGGGGAAAAGGCCTACGTTAAGTGAGGTTACGTCTCCATGCTACCGAGCCGAGGGTTTTTCGCAGCAAGGAACACGCCAATTGCAAAAATTTCAGGATCCCCCTTTCAAAGGGTAGATACACCAGCACTACAACACCCTTGGGGGGACTCTCCTTCAGGAGACGTGCATTTCTCATCCTGGGGTCAGGTCACCGCAGTTGCGCGATCATTGAAGCTTGAGGTTATGTTTGGGTTTAAACTCAAGTTAAGGAACAACTCCGATCACCAAGCCCACAATCGATCGCGATAGCTAACGACCCCCTCTTCCGTGATGCTTCAAGTTCCATTCGCACTTTTCTAAGGAATGGTCAACCATAATCAGCCCTACGATTGGATACGTCTCTTCTCCTTTGGAAATTACGCAATGGACGGTTGACCTTGTCGAGTTTTATGTAGCCCCTCAGAATTTCCCCCGCAGCAACACATTTCATATTATTTATAAGGCTAAAACTTTCCTTCCCCACACTGGTGTCCAAGTTTTACGTCGACCACCTCTTTCAAGCCTTCTTTGATAAGCAGCACCTCATTTCTGCATTGCTCCAGAATTGAAGCATTTTGTGGAAGAAGGTCCCGCTAAGCGATCTTATAAGCACTATTATTCAACTATCTTATAAAGCATCGTATCTTATCTTATGGGTCAGCTTTATAAGCACTATTACGAGTGCGAAGATATTGGCTCGTAACCTTGTTTGACCCCACAGTGGAGGAGGGAATTTTGAATAGAGTAATAGCTGAGATATCATGATCTGTTTCAGGTATCCTTCCTGCGCCGTGCCCACGTCAACGATTAATCGCTCCGCCCCCTTCAAAAAGTATGGAAGACGGAGAGTTATTTAAGTGTAGTTTTTACCTTGCTGAAGGAAATTGAATTGGGACTGTGAGCATAGTCATTGTCCCATGCACTGTGTCAGGGTCATCGACCTGATTCAGTATTTCGAATTTGCAGAATCAGACCTAAAACAGGTTGTTGAAACAAAACAAGACTAGAGCTTGAAGAGTGGTTTGCCTCGAATCTCGAACCACAAACTCCAATAGTTATTAGTGGCGCTTTTTCCAATCCTATCGAGAGCTGCGGATATGAGTTGTGAATTTGCACGGCGCTACTTACTAGGTGCCTGGCCCGGGGATCAAACCCAGGGTACTAATCCATACAGTCCCACCACGATCCATTCATCGGGTCGGTTTAATTAGTACAGACTTGTTGGAGGACGAAAGCGTTACTAATGCTGCGATGGCGCTCTTAAAGTTAGTCAATAGCGCCGCATAGCTAGATAGAATGGAGATGGGAATCATGGCGTATCCGTAAAGGCTTATATGACAGGCGTGTATTTATTCTTATCTTTGCGTAGAAAACAACATAACCTAGGGGTGCTTTAGGAAATAATGGCTCTTTCTCTCCAGCGGCTGAAATATCTCTGGGATCAGGTGCTTCTCAGCTCAAGCAAGATACAGCTCTCACCTGTGATAAGACCTCCGACGATTGCTGACGCTAGAGCGTGCCATGGCGGCCATTGGTAAGGCCTGAATTTTCACCGGATTTCTGTCACCGATTCATTGGGCCACCCCCAAACCCCCCCTCGAAGTAATGGATATATGTGTACAAGCCTTGAAAAATGAGTAGAATTTGGCTATTAATTTCGCTAAGAGTAAAAGTGTGAAGGACTAACGTTTTCCCATAGCTTTCCGGTTCATAACCGAGTGCAAAAATTATGCTGAAGATCTGAAAACAACTTCAATTATATTCAGCACTGAGTCTATCTGTATGTTTTCTTTGAGGTTTCTATTATATCTATTTCATAGTTTATTTTGGTTTTTTCGAACATTTGATTTGTTTGCTCATTTCAAGCTTGTTAGCAAATTAGTTTCGCTCGAGATTGACTTGCGGCATTGATGCAGTAAAGATCATGCATTAGATGACATAAGAGATGATCAATGCTCTCTGCGTTATCTCGGAATGATCTGAATAGGGATTCCTCACTGACCCCTGAAAAGGCTGTGTACAGGAGATTTGCTCTTCTAGTCTGATAAAACTTATCGAGTTGATGATCATGTGTCGAGGATATCACTCTCAAATCTTTAGATAGAAGTCAAATGTGGCGCGGTCGAAAAGCATATAAGTCATAGGTATTTCCGTTTTCCATCGTATCTAGAAGGCTCTTATACTTTCCTTTATATAAGTCTTCTGAAGAAGACAGAACAGAAATAAGTATGTACATTGCTGGATAGAGCTCTTCTACTAGGTCTTAAAAAAGTTTCGTTTCCTGGCACTCCACATTTGGATGCGTTATTTTCCTTGAAATACAGAAAAATACTGCCATCAATTCGGATATCACTCCAGAGAGCTTGTCCTACTCTGCCCAAAGCTCAGCTCAGCTTTCTTCTAAAACATTTTCTTATAACCTTTACAAAGGCTTGAATGCGGTATACTCAATGAGCATTTTGGCACGATTTTCTTTTCCTAGCTTTAAATAGATTTGAAAGTAGCGGGGGCACGACAAGATATTAACGATGCACTTAGCTCATACTCACACAGAATATGCTATGCGCAGTAAGTTCGAAAAGTTTATTTGTACTATTAAGGCAAAGGTCGGGCTCAGACACGCTGGAGAAGTAATTCCCGTGCCTGGAGGTTGTATGTGGGTAGCTGCACACATTGCAGCAACTTCCACCTTGAAAAACGTCGTTTAAAGCAACAGTCCAGGCAGGGTTTCAACTACTTGGTCATTAGGCGGTCAAAACATGCCCCAGCCCAACTAAAGTTTATAGGAAATGTCTTTAAGTTCAAAACCTACCTCTAAAATGCGCTGGAAGGGGTCGAAGTCCTCTTGGAGGGGGCGGATCACCCATACCGAGGCGGATCGCTCAACATACGCTGTGCAGAGTCCGTGCTTGACTAGCGGTCGTTGCGGGACCGCCGCGCTGTATGAGGTCGATTCCATAAGAACGCAATTGAAGCGCTTCAATTTCGATTGCTGGCAAATAGTTATGTATTTGCAAGCATGCATGGCTATTTGCCAGCAGTTGCAATTGGAGCGCATGTACTACGGGCAGGTTCGGACAACTCGTCCAACACACGTCTCCCTAAACGGCAGGGGGAGTCCCTGTCTAAGCCCCTGCCCGACGTTTTTTCTACTTTTTCTTTCTCCATTGACCAACTTCTCACCTGCAACGTCATTATAGGTGGTCCTTACCCGCGAATTCGTTCCTGGATTGTTGCTTTAAGCTCCCGGGGCCGTCGGTTCAATCCGGGACCGCCTCGTCAATCCGGGACCTCCGGAAGTGGTGCGTGGCTGGCATAACGTGTGAAATCAGCTAGGTTGATTGCCGTATCAACCGATAGAACGACTGACATCTCCAGAAAACTTGTTTGTACGTGCCTCTTTCCCAAGCCAGCCTCCTTCACTGCTAGTGGGAAAGAGGGTTTTGTTAACGGCCTTGTCGACGGTTTTTCTCAGTTTTTTCTCCACTGTCGTTCCACTTCGCATCTCTATACTCAGTTTCAATCGCCATAATACCCCCTTATTGAGCCCGACTTTTGCCTTTAAGCGAGAGACTTGGATTGATGAGGGTGTGTAGGATATCGGACGTTGCCAGCATTAGCCAAAAGTTCTGATGAAGGCACTCGTGCGTAAGACCATAGAGGAGGTTCTGCCCAACCTGGGCGTATATGGTTTGTAGAGCCAAGCTATACGAAAGTTGCTGAACAAGTCCAAATAAATTTGGATAGGGGCGTGCCGCGACGAATTTGAAGGGTAATCTAGCTTGTTTTTTTTGTGATGAAAGCCGCTCAATTTTCTACTAATTTGCGACGTAAACTGAGGAAGGAATTCTGCTGTACAGCCCACCGAAGTTTGCTGAATAGATCTACAACAATCAAGCTTTACAAATTTGCTACTTATACTCCAAGGGAGTGTTTCGGCAACTTCATCGCTCAGCTAGCTAGGTGTGCTCCTCCCATTCAGGTGAGCTGTTAGCAGGTGGGATAGGCAGTCTTAAATATCTCGCCAAAATTCACCAAAATTCAAGACTGCGTGAAGCTTCCTCAATATAAGGAAAGGACACATACCGAAAGTGCTTGAGGGCCCTACATATGCGATCAAAACCGTACATGATATTGAGGCAAGGCACATGGCCCTTTGTGGAGGCCGTAGGTATTACTGGCTCGGATTGCTTAGCGCTGCTCAATTTTTGTCTGAAGCGATTTACTTCGCACCCGCCTTAGATTTTTTCAAATAATCTTATCAAATACGAGGTATCTCGGGTAATGAAACCACGAACCCCGGCGAGGATCCCTGGAATCCCGTGAAGATTGTGCACACCACAGGTGTCGAACAGCTTGAAACGTTTCTCGAGTTTTGGCTGAAAGTTCATGACTAAGGCATTAAAAGCGCCACGAAGGCTAAGAAACACTCACACTCAGCCAAGCATGACCGATCACAGATACGAAACTTGCGCAAATCCCGACAGCAACAGCATGAGATGGATAGAGCACAGCGTTTGCTGCTGAACCTGAACAACCAGGAATTTTCGGATTACTCCGTAAACACTCAGAAACACATAAACAGCAGCAACTGTCGGGTTCAGAGAGTATGAGAAACATTTTCGATGTAACCGTCAACAAGGGAATCCTTTAGTTACAACCACGGTCCGACAGTGTTGAAATTTGGGCTATGTTAGCTCACAATACAACTCGAGGAGAGATCGGTATAGGAAAGGGAGTAGGGAAAATTACTGCTTGGAAAGCACAAATGCTAGCTCAGCCGCTGAGACTACGCTCTTTTGGCGACTGCAAGTTTCCAGCATTTATTGATGAAGTAACCTTAACCCATCCTGGTAAAAACGCAGTCATTGAAGTAGTGAAAAATATAATCCTACAGATTCCTCTGCTTGGTCGTCCCCTCTCGCGCTAACAGTGTTCAAGTCGAGGCTTCAGATGACGTATGCCAAATTTGCGAAACGACGCCATATGCTGATCTTATTACATCCGCATTATCCTCCTCCTCACCATAGTCACCGCTGAGTAGGATCGAAGGTATTTCGTCGTGCGGAACTTTTGGAAAGCATCTTTTGCATGCGTTAATGGGAGCACGCGTGATACACAGAACCGTACTCGTGCATGGAACTGTTCTTCATTTTCTACTGACCGGAACTCCTTAAATGCAAAACCTGTTCTGAGTATCAACCCTTTTCATATTAGTTATGGTGGTCTTTTAATGTAACAGGCATCCATAATAATCCGCGGGTAGACTCAAACGTTCAGCGACGCCGATCAAAAATGCAGAGCTTTGTTCCCACGGGGAATCGAACCATGAGTCAAGCTTTTGTCCTTTTTTTTGGAGTTCAGAGCTGCTCAGTAAAAATGAAAAACAGTTCCATGTTCAATGCACGTGCTTCTTCATGGTGCTGAAACCGTTTTGAAAAACGGGGCATGACTTTGAGGGTCTTCTTACGTGGCAAGGAAAACGAGAATTGTTTCATCCTTGCACCGCAGGCGTTTAAGGCAGTTTATGCGAAAATTGTGAGAGCAGAACTTTACCAATAGCGACACCTCCAGAAAGCGTCGAACTTTGAATGTGAATCATATTGAATCGTCCAAGATTATCGACGAAGGAGCTCAGTATGAACGTCGTCACTGTGCCACTTGCCATTGCAAGATATGTGTTCATAATTGCTCGATGCCGTGCGTCCTCTGAAAGCAGGGTATTTTTAGTCATCACATCAACTATAATAAAATTGCAGATATAATCTCTGTGCGGGCAGAGAAGAAAATTTTTGTCCACAATGGTTCCACGTGCGCGGTTTGGATATCAAATCTGGATCGGATCTCGTCCAGGACAAACGACCCATTATTGGTCAATTGGTGCTAGAAACGTCTGAAGGGATGAGAACCCTGAATTCTTCATCGCCTGCCACCCCCCCCCACCCCTCCCTCCCCCTTTCCCCATGTAGGCTACGCCGCATTCCAATGATAGTACGATGAACTGCAGAGGAGGAATGCGTGCACATCAAAGAAGTAATTAGGCGCAAGAAGGTAAATCTACATCACTTAGAAGTCCACATTTGACGACTGTATTGAGTCACTGCTCACAATGAATAAGACACAAGCTAATCTTTTACCGAACACCCAAATTTTCGTCTAAACCTCAAGGGTATGTAACCAGTACCTCTGAGAAAAAACCCGCGAATTCGGAGAGGCATACCTCAACATTTTTCGTATAACTTCGTGAAATGCGCCAAACGGTGAAAAAGGTGCAAGGAGGTATCGCTCATTATGACGCCTTACTAGCTGAACAAAGAAAACGCAGGCCTAGCCTCTACCTCCTTTATCTCCCACTTCTCTTCATCCTTTTGGGTTTTCGTCCTTAGACCCACTTCTGGATGAGCCCTCTCCTCCGTAAGCTCCTACAATGCTCAAGGTACCTATTTACTAAGCCTAATACCACAATTATCGTACAATGTGCCACTGATTATTCCAACTCACCTGGCTCCTGAACGGCAGCGTTGAAGGATGGGAAGAACACCCAAAGAAGGAGAGTACCTGAATACAGTTCCGAGCTCAACAGTTTCCTCAAATCAACAAAAAATATTGGCGAAGCTTACAAACAACATTCAAAAAAAATCATTGAATAATTTGAAGCTGCCTCCGATTTTTACCGATCATTGAGAATAAGTCTGAATGGTGAATGGAGCCCTGTTCGTCCATTTCCATAACATTTTTCTTCTTTCCGACCAACGCTGCCGCTAAGCCGAAATACGCCCCGAAGGCATGCGACAAGGACGGCTCCCTCGTTTACACTATTCAAACAGTATTTTTCAGAAATTTGTATGATTTCGATCCAACTTTCATTTGCCTAATCTTCGTAATAAACATACGATAATTGGCATAATTCGAAATTCTAGGTGGTAAGGCGAGGAGAACTCATAATAACTTACATGTAGGATATTGACGATAACATGATCAACAAGGACTGCTAAACTGGTCTCAAAAAACGCTAGTAGTAGGAACTGTACTGGAGTCATACGACCAAGCAGCACTCCCATTGTGATCAGTACTACTGCACATGAGTTGTCCGCGCACATCATCCTGAAAGAAAAAAACCTGTACACCTCAAAGACAGTGATCACGATGCTGGACTACGGTGGGATTTGATGACGTACTGAAGCGTGATTGTCGACGTTAGACCTCTCAGTGGTTGAGGTCATCGCTAACACTCCACACTATAGAGTGAAAAACGGTCGAGGAAATTCTCGACGTGGCACTCTGCCCTGCGTGAGAATAGTATCGAGAGTGAATCTACACGCGGAGAGCACAGACGGCTCGCGCGTGAAGAAAGTGAGTGTCCGCGCGGGAGAGCCTGAACTGAACGGGCAAAAATCCTCTAAAAGTCGTTGTCCGATTTCCTCTCCCTCCATCAAAACCGCCAGCCATCGTGATCGTCTGGCTTCAGAAGAAGAATCGGTAGTCAAACTTTTTTGGAGCTTTCTTTTTCAATTAACAACAAATAAATAGTAAATGAATAAAAGTCGAGTTCCTACGAATAAAGGAACTGACTCTGGCACTCCAAGCGTAAACGTGCGCGTTTCTTGAAATTGCTTTGAGAGGAATCCCCGTAGAAGCATAGCCCACTGTATAACGAAAGCCGACAGTAACAAATTCACAGAAACTGCGGAGAAACCGTATCTCTAAATGACGAAGCATTAATTTTAGAAGTGTTTTCTTGAGTGTTCACAACAGAACAATAATTTCATCGAGTAAAAAATATAAATAAAAAAGTACAAATCAATCAAAAAAAAAAGAATAGGTATTTGCTCCTATGCATTCTCTTCCTAGCATGTGCCGAGCAATCTACTTCATTCAGAATCGTCGTAGTATTTGAATGCGGTTTGCCGTATGAAGTGATTTGCGTTGATTAGCCCTATGTCAGGCAAGTCTAGTTATAGTTAAAGGAAGCGATTACGGTAAAGAGGAAGCGCATTGAGGAAACGAATGCACCACAAGAAGCACTTACTTGGCTGTCAAGAGGCGAATTGTGGCGTTTTAACAAGGAAAGGTGCGCTGGGTGCTGAGCAGGAATTCGAA